GTTATCTCTAGGGGGGGTGTCTCATTGTACTCCTCTAGAGGACTGCTGGTACTTGGTGGGATATATTATTTTGGTTTTTCATGTTATTATTTTTTCTCTGTGACTTTGACATGTGAATTTCTATTGTAGTTTCTGATTCTTGTGTGAGACTCAAGCCTTCCTTTGTTGAGTTTAGGCTGCTTCTTTTTGTAAACTTTATGTGCCTTTGTGGTTTACTTGTTGAGCATGAAAAGCTGGTTGGTCTAGGCTTCAGGTTCTCTCTTTTGATTTTACATTTGAATGGTCTAATTGCTTTCATCTTCAGGAATTCCCACAGAGGCCCAAGACAGATGAGGATCAGATGCTCTCAGGCTTTCTCCTAAAGCCTGGATCCCTCCAGGAAAGATGCTGCCCTCAGGAATTTTGGGGCTGGGCAGGCCTGGAAGCAGGACCCAGGAAAGATGCTGGTCTTAAGAAGCTGGTCTCAAGAAGCTGGTGGCTGTGCCACCCAGGAATGCAAAGGGAGGTGGGGTCAGGAAGAGGCCCGGAGGGCTCCTAGGGACTGCTGGGAGGAACTGGGTTGGTCTGGATGCAAAGGATCAGGAAGCAGTGGGGATTCTGGGCCAAGAGGTCAGTCCCAGGGGTCTGGGGTACCAACAAAATAATGGGCAAGTACCCAGGCTAGGAAGAGAGACAGGACAGGGGAGCTGGGAGGGTGACTGAGGCTGGGGGAGTCAAGGCACAGTGGAGGCCACAGGACCCACCCAGGAAAGTTACTAGCACCAGGAAGCTGTTGGCTGAGCTTCCCGAGGAAGCAAAGATAGGTGGGGTGGGACCAGGCCCAGAGGGCTTCTGGGGACTGCAGGGAGGAACTGGAATTGTCTGGATGCAAAGGATCAGGAAGCAGTGGGGATTCTGGGCCAAGAGGTCAGTCCAGGGGTCTGGGGTGCCAAGACAAGAAATGGGCCAGTACCCAGGCCAGGAGGAGAGATGGTGTGGGGGAGCTGGGTAGGTGAATGAGGCTGCAGGAGTCAAGACACAGTGGGCACTGCTGGACTTACCCAGGAAAGATGCTGACACCAGTAAGCCAGCAGCTGTGCAGCCCAGGGAAGCAAAGTGAGATGGGGGCTAGCCAAAATACTCTACCAAAAGCTTTCAAAATTAGATTCTCAGGCCTACCACATATAGAATATAGAAAAATTCGTGTAGAGGCTGGAAATATGACTCAGTGATTAAGAGCACTTGTTGCTCTTGCAGAGGACTGAGTTTGGTTCAGTACTCATATTGGGGGACTCACAACCACTTTTAATTCCAGTTCCAGGGACCCAACATTGTATTCAAGCCTCTATATACATGTGAACATATACACACATAGACACATACAAATATGCATAAGTAAAAAATAAAACTTAAAGGGAAAATTTATGTAAAGATGATCTATCTATGATCAACTTCTAATCATCCACAAGAAATAGAATAATTTTAGGCAAGTTCATAAGCATTCATACTAGGTAGTGCCAAATAAAAATGAGCCTATAAACAGGTCAGGTCAATGATGGCCAGTAAAAGCAAAAAGAAATCTCATTTAACTTTTAGGGGACAGAATTTTGGCAATACATGTCCATGAGTGAAAACCAATACTGTATTTCATTTAGATATAACAATACATTGGGAGTACTGGTATTGAGAATGTGGAGATCAATCCTTTTCTGGCAAACTGAGGACTCCTTCAACCACCATTAATTGTTGCCATCAATTAGCTACAATCAACTAATAGTTATTATTATTTTAGGTTAAAATTGAACTGTCTTGTAAAGAACCTCAGGAATGAAATGCAATCACTATTCATTAATATTCCTTATCTATACAAAAGGAATAAAATATAGAATGAATGTGTTAAATCTACCTTAAAAATAAATTACAGATACTTTACAGGATATATTCATTTATTATTCAGTGCTATTCTCACTTATAAAATTATGAATTTTAAGAAAATAATTCTTTTTTTTCTGTCACTACCTTTGAAGTTGTGGGGATCAAGACAAGAGTAGCTACAGACTTACTACCACCTGTACAGAGAAAGGAACCAATTTCAAGAAGGCAAAACTTAGGGAGAAGTAGGGGAATCAGGGAATGGATAAGATGTGATCTGCACTCCTGCATGAAGCCTCATCTGGATTAGGTATGTATTTCTCAGGAATTGATGGCACTGCACTCAGTAGAATTCATTGATGGAAGGACTGTCTCTGCCTTAACTGGACAACCATGCCTGGCCTCTTGGGTACAAAAAGGCTTTGAACAGGCATGATTTAGTATCATTTTTACAACTAGGCTTCAGTCCTTGTTCATAATCTGACTCTTCTGGGGCACTGGTGCTGTGGAGAGAGTCCTGGTGACAGTCCTCACCAGGTCACTGATAGCCTTTACCTGTATTGTTGTCAGCCTCATCTCAAGGATGTTGGAGAAGGCCAAACAGAAACAAACCAACTGCCATTTCAGAACTTGAGAATAGCCCCAGAACTAGAACACCAAGGATGTAGAAAGAGCTAAAAATAAGAGAACTGGTTCACACAGGGCACTGTGAGATCTCCAGACCCTTCATCCTACAGAACCACATGGCCACCTTCCTCAACTTCAGCAGAATACTGGAGATTCACTTTCAGAAGAAGTTCAACCAGAGGGTCTTCAGGCTCAAGACCATCAGCAATGTCATATGAAAGCATAGAGATTACTTGAAAGTCTACACATTTGGTGATGAAAACTACTCTTCTCCTAACCCATGCCTAGTCTGACCAGTACATTCTTCTTGGTTTCAAAAACACTGGACATATGGCTTAACCTAGATCAGCTCAGGGGAAATTCTTCATCTAGGATTCAAGAATGTCTCCTAACAAAAATGGCCAGGCTAACAGCCCAATTACCCTACATAAAGCCCACTAATCACTGAACCCCATTCATGAACATGCATCAGCTTTCCAGTGTTCCACGCTCATCTATGAACAAGTAGCAAAAAGCCCAACAAATATTTCAAAAAAGTCTCTAGCATCAATGACAGAGACTAAAGCAACCAGAAAATAATGAACTCAGAGATAATGTGCACTATAATAGAAGAATCTTAAAAGGTTCTGATTATAATCTTTAAGTACTGCACTCATAAAACCAAGAGCAATATACTATTTGTAAAAAACTTAAAATGTCATTTGAACTTTTAAAATTTTATCACAAATATAAAATTAATTAGAGAAGCAAATAAAGTTAAATAAATAGTGTAAGCATGCTGAACAAGAAGACTGGAAAATGGGAAAATTTTAAGAGAGTACATGAGAATAATCCAGGACCTCTGATATGCTAATAATAAGATTTTAAAACAAAGAGGACAAATAAAACAGGGATAATTAATCATTTAAAATTAAAATTCCTAGACTTGAGAAGAATACACCTCTATTGAAAGAATGCATCACTTAGATTCTTTAAATTATTTCTTTAGACAGACACATACTAAGACCCATCATTTGAAGAAAAAATGTCATTTCTCAACTCAGAGAAAGGGAAAATTCAAACATCAGCATAAAGAAGAGACTGTTCTTGATTTTTACCTACCAATAATAGAAAAAATATCCTGTTTTTATTTTATATATATATATATATATAATCAAACAAATACAAGCTAAATAACAGCTTACATATATCTTTAAAAACTTCCTTCTTTAAAGAAATACAGTGAACAAAGGACATAGAAAGTCTTTTAATTTAGACATTCAGGAAACCCTTACAGTTAGGTAGACTGAATTCTATTATTCCCAAAGTTTATTTTATTAGCTTTTAAAAATAATACTCCGTGGGGCTGGAGAGATGGTTCAGTGGTTAAGAGCACAGTCTCCTCTTGCAGAGGGCTGGAGTTCAATTCCTAGCACCCACAAGGCAGCTAACAACTGTCTGTAACTCTAGTTCCAGGGGATCCGACACCCTCTTCTGACCTTCACAGGCACTGCACTGCACTACACGGGTACACTTACACACATGTAGGCAATACACTCATACACATAAAATAAATTAAAAAAAAAATACTCCATGAGACTTTAACATGTCTATGTCTTAGATTGCTTTCAATATTAATTTTTATGGATTTTGACTATACTCCTAGTTATTTTATTTTAGCATCTGAAGTGTAACATATTTACCAACATTAACCGTGTTGAATTTTATAAGATTAAGTCATGAGAATTTGAGATACCTTTAAATATACAAAACTCTTGACAGTCCAAACTGATTCTTTCTCATCATCAGGGTCATGCACTCACCTTGAGGATCAACTTCTTTAGCGAGCTTCAGTGCATCTGAGTTTGCAAGATCGGTGTTGGCTGGGGTGACAGCCAAAATTAGACAATTCTCCCTCGTGATGAACTGCATAATCATTTCTCTGATCTGATACTCAATGTCTGGGGGCTGGTCTCCCACAGGCACTTTAGTTATTCCAGGTAGGTCAATCAGCGTTAGATTTAACACTGTGGAAAGGAATAAAAAAGTCTTATATGCACCTTCAATGCAAAAGACACACCAAAAATGCAGAATCGTCTGCCACTTGGCTCAGCCTTATGCATTGTGCATGTGAATAAGTCCATCTGAAGTGTATAGAAGAAAAAGCATTGAATACAAAATGGTTTGCTACTTTTCTCTATTTTTACATGATTGTGCTAAGCCAAATGATCATCTTAACAAAATTTGAAAGGCATTGATTTGCATGCCTACCAGTTCGCTGAGAGAGCTGTCATATCCTAGCTGTCATAACTAGGGGGTTATAATTAAAACACTGAACAATAAATGCATATGCTGTCTGCTAGTCTTGTGCATCGCCTTCAAATGGTATAAAAATTCTCAGCCTAACATCCACCCTTCCTTTCAAAAGCATCATATGTTATTTGTAGGAGGTTAGCCATTTAGTCTGTGGGGAAGCTGTTAGTCATTTGTGGTATGCTGAGTGTAGTGAATGGGCTGGCTATATAAGCAATCAATGACAACAGGACTCCAGCGCATTCTGACTACTGTCTTCTCAGTGTGAGCACCAAGTCTCCATGGGAAGTCATGCATACAGTGTAGGGATAAAAATCATAGATGTGCCAGGCATGGTGGTGCATGTCTTTAGTCCCAGCACTCGGGAGGCAGAGGCAGTTGGATCTCTGTGAGTTCAAGGCCAGCCTGGTCTACATAGTGAGTTCCAGGCCAGCTGGGGCTACAGGGATAGCTCAAAAAGACCAAAAAAAAAAAAATCATAGATGCTTCCTCAGGAAGAGGAATAGAAATATGACAGAGCTGCAAGGAAGTCAACAGGGAAAGACTCAACCACACTCCTCAAGAGTTTTTGCAAAGACTGAAGATAATAAAAAAGCAAGTTTGCATGAGCCCACCTTCTAATTTCTGAAAGCTCATAACAAAAATAAAGATTTTTTAAATTCCAAGAAGAATTATTTTTATCAGTTACCTCCTTCTGCCTGTATAAATATTCTGAGCTCTTTGAACTGTACCATATGTACTAGTATCCAAACATCCAGAAACTCAGTATTATCTGAATCTTCTACAATGTATGTTAATGCATCTAGTAAAAAAATTTGAGGAGAAAAATTAGGAATTATATTACACTTACCATGTGGGGAATAGACTCGTAAATTAATGGGTATAGAGGAGATGCCTTTATTCATTCCAGTCACTCGATCTGTTTCGGCTTCAATCTCATGGCGAACTTCATCAAAATCTGTAAATTTTTTTCCTTTGCAATGTAGAAATTCAGCATATTCTAAACAAAACAGACAAATGCATGCATTTGTGTCAGGATTATAAAAGAGCAATATTTATTTAATCACAAGTCAAATGATCCAAGATTGTCCTTCAGCTAGTATAAAACCATACCTCAGTTGACAGTTCTCTAGAAATGTCACTACACTTGATCTTAGCCAAAAGGCCAAGAAGCAATTTCTAGAAATGTTAAATAGTAGTTGCTATAGATGTTAAATTTGCTACTCTTCAAATAAGCAACTAAGTACTATAAGAAGTTCTTAAGCCATCCATCCTACTAAATAACTTAAAATAATTGTAGCTTCCTAAATGATGAAACAAATAATAATAATAATAATAATACCCTGTTATTAGAGACATTTGATCTGGAGTGACACAATGCCTACCCACCAATCCCATCGACACCTCCTTTTTCAGTATCACCATCTCATTAGGATGGAACGCTAAGTTATGTGACTAGATCTTCAGAAGCTGCGTAATTTAGAAACAATATTTGCTTAATTCTTTAAAATACAGTATTTTAGATTTAGCAACATACTATTCAAAATACCATATCAAGAGCTGGAGAGATGGCTCAGCAGTTAAGACCACTGGCTGCTCTTGCAGAGGACTCAGGTTCAATTCCCAGCACCCACATGGTGGCTAACAATTGTCCAGTTCTAGGAGATCCAAAACACTCTTCTGACCTCCAAGGGCATTGAACAGCATGGATGCACTTTCATACATATAGGTAAAACACTCAATCATAAAATAAAAATAAACATCAAAAAATTTTAATATCATATCAACTTGCATAATTAAATATTTTCTCAGGAAACAGATACTAAATATTGCATTTTAAAATGCCTACAAGCTAAAAACTTCACTTTGCAAGCAGACAGAAGAATCCTAAAAGAACTACATAAACAAAAAAAATGAGAGTCTTTGTTTGGTTAGCTGGTTTGTGGTATTTTGTTTTATTCGATTTTTTAAAACAAAGATTTGCTATGTAGCCCAGGCTAGCCTGGAATTTGTTATGTAGTCCAAGCTGTCTCAAATTCACAATCCTCCTGTCTCAGCCTCCTGAGTGTTGGGATTCCAAAGGTATACCTCTACCTACCAACTGTTGTACTATCAACTTTTATACCTAGTTCTAGAGCTATCAGGTATATGGAAAACAACACAAGTCAAAAGGGGAGCCAGCACTATTAGATGAAAACCTTATGAAGGCTAAAGAAGTAAGGACGTATCCTCATACGTGGATCCTAGCACCAAATCCTTATAAGTGAGTATGTATCCAGACATAACTACAGAAACCGGGATAATGAAGAGGAACCAGAGAGGTAAAGGCAAAGAAAGAATCTGAAAGAAGAACAGTAGGAAACAGGGAGATATGGATAAAAATGGGGTTATTTTAGGGGGAGGGGAGAGGGAGGGTCATACAAGTAACCTTGGGAATAAAGGGAAAGAAGGATCTCAAAAGAGGTGAGACCATGGGGGAAGGGTACTATCAAGGGAGAAAGGGGGGAAATGGGGGCACTTTAAATGGGGAAACCATGGTGGAAGAGTTAGACAATGCAAGAGATAAATAATGCCTAACTAGTTTTAAAACTATCAGAGGGAACCATATTAATCAAATGACCTACTAACAAATTATACATACAACTAGCGCAAGGAATATATGTCTAGGCAAGGTTTATCTGAGAATGTTTGGTCTTTGCCCAAGCTTTATTTACACAGCACATGGTAATTAAAAGTACCAGACTGATGAAACTAACCTTCTTTGATGCTTAATGGCCATACTTTGAGGCCTATGCTAATTTGGTCAGAGGGACATAAAGAACAATTTTTGCTCCTTGCCCTCCTAGGTCGACTAAGCTCCAGGGGACTATGGAACATCTCTCAAAATGTCCTGTAACTGTGGTGAGTCACCTGTCCTCTTGATCAAGGAGGCTGTGGAGATCCCACCAGATGGACTTGAACCAGTGTCCAGTCTATAAAGAGGAGGGTCAACACAGAGGAAACATTTCCTCCTTGCTTCCCAGTGAAGTCAGCCATGGTCGAGCAGGACCTTTGACTTATCTTCACATAGATAGAACTGGGAAAAGAAAGGAGCCAGGGGCTCCTCCTAAGCCCATGTGACCCCTGAGGAACAGATCCTCATGAGGGTAAAAATAAGTTGGTTTTTCTAGGCCAACTGTATGGTCTTAAACACCTAAAAGTAAAGTATAATCAAAGATTAAAGGGATCAATATAATTCTTTAAGAGTCCATGTATATAGCTAAAGGCTATATAACAAGAAACAATGCCAAACAGGACATACCTTCCTTTGAGTCATTGGCCAGGGTGGCCCAAGAGACTCCCAGACAGTAACCCAGCATAGAACTGGGAAAATGAACAGCAGACCCCAATCTTATCTAAAGGAATATTGGCAACTGATTGCTTCTAGATGAGGAAGAGCTGATCTTCCTAAAACAAGGAACTCTAGATAGGCTGAATAGATTCAGCAGATGAACAAGTAGTGGGGAATGGCTGGGGGTGCCAACAACACAGCAGACAGTAACAGGGGTGACAGAGTACATGGGCTCCAGTGTGGTGGGGGGAGAGTCTATTGGAGGGTGCCTTTTGGGATGTGGTTATACAGATGAATAAGATTGTCTGGGATGTTCTGTATGAAATACACACAAAAAATCAACAAATTAAAAAAAAAATGAGGTGTGCTCGCTTCGGCAGCACATATACTAAAAAAAAATTGGAATGATACAGAGAAGATTAGCATGGCCCCTGCGCAAGGATGACATGCAAATTCATGAAGTGTTCCATATTTTTAAAGGCAGAGCTGAAATAAACCCGGGCGGCAGGCACTACTGTCAGCCCCCCCAAGCAACAAAAAAAAAAAAAAAAAGAGGTATATTTGAGGAAAAAGCATAAAAATTTGCTCCATGTTAATTACTAGAGGTAAAACACATCACTAGTGAAATATACCCAATGATTTTATATCCATGCTCAGGTGGATCTCAGAAAGTAACCGATTGTAATAATCAGATACATTGAGATTAGAGACACATGTGCAAACATCTAAGCGTTAGTAGCATTAAATTGAGTTTTTCTGTATGAAACAGTATATTTTAAAATGAAATGGAGATCTTTTTTTAAGGGTTAAAACCTCATTCAATTTTATGTCTTATAGGGTTTATATTAAGTTCAATATTTTATAACTGTATTAGTTCAACTGTGAACCTAAAAATTTACAGCCAATTTTGAAAGAGATGCATCTTTGCTCTGGAAATTGTTATTGAATATGTTAATGCTGTAATGGAATGCATCTTCCAATCATGTGGTTATTAAATAAATAATTTTTAAACGTTTTAAAAAAGAAGTAAAGACATTTAACAATATTTTATTTCTCCAGTATCTAAGTGAAGAATAATTGCTCCACCAAACTTAGAATAAAGCTGAGCATCTTGGGCCCAATGGCCAGTTTTCAAACAGTCATTAGCATCCTTTCTATATTCCCTACCATATAGGTGTAAAATTTATCCAGGAAAATTAAATGCTAAGTCCAGTGGGGACAGTGGCCCCTTGTCAAGTAGGTTAGCATTGACTTAAGGAGCCAAAGATTATATCACAGAAAAACAAAAGTTAACACCCGCTGTGTGAAGGAAGTGCTGTTCTGCACTTCAAATGATAGGAAAGGCCAAGTGTGAACTGAGTACTAAAGTGTGGGGAGGACTTTATCTCCTACAGGGAGAAAGAAAGAGGAAATCAATCGCGATCTCAACAAATCCCTAGCAGATTGTCAACCAGCCTCTACTTGGACTCATGCACTGACAGGGAACTAAAGACTTAATCTTTTCCATCGGGGATTTAAAAATACCTTTAACTGCCAGGACTTTAATCCTAGCATATGGAAGGCAGAGGCAGGCAGATCTCTTTGAGTTCGAGGCCAGTCTGGTCTACAGGGAGTTCCAAGTCAGCTGGGGCTAGAGGGAGACCCTGTCTCAAAAAGCTAAAAAAAAAAAATTTTTTTAATACTTTTAATCAGAAAACAAGTCTTTATGCTGATGTGAAGCCTTTTTTGTAATGAATCTTTTTTATTTATTTTTATTTTATGTGTATGAGTGTTTTGCCTGCATGTATGTAAGTGCACCCATGTCATTCAATGCCCATGGAAGCCAGAAGTGGGCATCAGATCCCTTGGAACTCGAGTTATAGCCACCCTGTAGGTGCTGGGAACTGAACCCAGCCAGGTCTTCTGCAACAGCAGTGTTCTTAACCACTGAGTCATCTCTCCAGCCCCTGGCTTTCTTATCTTAAGTCATCCACTGTTGCCCTCAGCGCTACTCAGACAATCATCCTCCATGTGAAAAGACCAGAAACAGGTCTGAGTGTTAGCACCTAAAGGCCATTTCCTTCCCTGGACTCTCACCACCTTACCTTGTTTATCTAATCGTTGCCCAGGCCTCCTGGTGGCAGACAAACATTTCCCAGCTCCATCCCAGCAGAATCAAGAAATACAGACTCTCACAAGAGACCAAGGAGTTTCTGCTTTAAGTTACCAGATTATGGAAATGATGTAGCTTTCCAAATGTCAGAAGGATAGTCACAGACCAGCTTACTTTCTGTCTTTCTGTCAAGGTGTACAGACATGAATCCTCTCTGTTTCTTACGTTCTCCATTTAATGGTCTGTCATGCTCATTGTAAAATAGCAAGTTAAATCTGAAAGTTCATCCCTCTGAAGATGGACTACACACAGCAATAAGGGTTCATCAAGCTTTGGGAATCTGGCCTGGAGCGATCACTTCATTATCTGGCATGACTTTAACTACAGGCTCACTCCATCATATGCCATTTGTATTAAAATATAATTTTCCAGAAGATGGAGCCTTCATTTAATTACCCAGTCAATCCTTAGGCCAGTACCACATGAATTTAACGGTTAAAGGTAAGTAGATGGTCAATGAGCAGCAACAAAAGAAATCAGATCACCAAAAAAAATGAAGAAACATTAATATTTACCA